ACACACCTGTTAACGACTAATCAATGAGATCACACACACCTGTTAACTAAAGACTAATCAGTCAGTGACCCTTCACTTAACTTAAAGTTCTCGAGAGTCGAGCATTTGTTTTTTTCTCCGTCCGTGAGCATCACATTATTCTACTACATTACAGGAGGGCGAGCATGCTTACTAAACAAACACACCGTTGAACAATGTTTCTCACAGGTGGTTACAGGCTTGAGATATGAATGGTGGTGACACTAGTTTTGTCAAAGTGCTGGTGAACTTCCTGTCTGAGTGACGGGAGGTGCAGACAAGCAGCCACAGACGGTGTTTACAGCAGACACTCACTCGCAGAGGCCGGCCTGTCCCGGCTGTGTCTGGAGGCCACACGGCGAATCGATCTGCTGACCGGCTTCATCTTTCTGCTCCATCAGACAACAAGCGTCTGTGTGACAGAGGAGAGGTTACGCTCATGTGGTGATAAATCAATTAAAACCAGCTCTTCAGAGGTGGGAAGAAGAATACATAAATAACAGATATATTGTAAGACTTAAAGATTAACATGTGTTATTGAAAAGTGTGTCAAGATAACCTGAACTTTGAGTTAATTAATTTTAACAAATCTCATCTAACGTTTGTTTGGATTTCTAGGTTTTTAAGGAATTCCAGGATGTTTGAATCCTGATGCAACAAAAGACGTAAAGTATTTAAATTTCATGTTTTCTGTTTTTCTTCCTGAACGAAAGACAAATGAAAGACGACTTTTACCAGATTGAGTTCCAGTAGAAGGATCCGTGTTGAACTCCACGCCGCTCCTCTGAGGAGAGAAAAGGGAGATTAAGAAACGTTAGTTTACATCCCTGCATTTCTTTACATCTGTCACACGTTTACACTCGTTTATTTAAAGGTTCCAGTTAAATGGAGGTTTTAGTAACAGCTTCTGCTTTCTTTCATTCTATATTTCAAGCTGAACCAGTTCAGTGAAAGTTACGTCATGTTTGGTCACGACAGAAATAGAAATCTAAATGTGAGTTAATGTCTGCAGGTATCACCGAACCTCTACAACAGAGGTCTTCAACAGGGGGTCCGCGGAGGTACTGCAGGGGGGCCGCGAAACATTTGGTTGATTAGACAATTCTGTGAAGTGTTTTTACTTCCTTTCATTGTTACTTCTCCCTGCTATACGATCTCCATATTGGTGTTTTTGTTATAATTAATTAATCCCACTAAAAATGATCGATACGGTTGTGGTTTGTTTTGCAGTGATTGTACATGTTGTTAAATAAAGATAAAGAGGAAGAGGAAGTCCACCTGCAGCAGAGCCTGCAGTCTGGGCGGCTCCCAGTCTCTGAGGTAGAAGAGACAGTCCCGCGGGTGGTGAGCATGAAGACCGGTGTAGCTGCACTGAGCCGTCTTACACACCGTCTGCGAGAGACGACACAACAAACACAGGAACACGTTTTTAATGAGCTAGGTTACGTCACGTTTGGCTCGGACGGAAATATAAATTTAAATCTCCATTTGAATGCGTGTCTGCTGGTGTGCCATCACCTGACCTGTAATATATTGTTCTCCAGGTATTTAGAGCACCAAGACTGTCCACAAGTTACAAACAAAAACATTTATGCATTTTATCTGAATAACCAAAAGGCTGACAAGCTTATTGTTTTAATTCCGTAAATAATTTCCAGATGGTAGAAGGTCGGCAATGCACAAAAAACAAAACAAAGAAGTCGCTTTTTACCCACAACTGCTGCTGTGTGTACAGAAGATCAGTGGAAGTCTACCGTAGAGACAGAAGCTCAGCTCCTCACCTTGTGGTAGGGGTTGTTGCAGCCGCTGCAGAACTGGTACCTGCACTGGGAGCAGCTGAAGTGCATGCAGCCGCCTTTGGTTAGCGCATACTGGAACCTGCAGGAGGGACAGGCTGCAAGAGGACAATTCATACTGGTTAATGTGGTGGAATGTAACTAAGTACATTTACTCAAGTACTCAAACGGACAGTTTGAAGTGTGGTTGTTTGAGGTTCTTTTCAAGAGTCAGTTTATTACTGTAGGTGGAGTTTTGAGACCGTCCCAAAAATCATTTTAACCGCTCTAAAGTCAGAGTAAACCATCAAAAAGTTCTAAACGTTATCTTCATCTATAGCGACTATTTGCACAAAAATAAATAAATAATGAAACCAAATGGAATCACGCTACGTTAGCCGTTAGTGGTGGTGCTAACGTTACTAGCTCTGCTCATTACTAGCTCCGCTGACGTCACTAACCCCGCTGTAGCTTCAAAGGGTCCCGTTTGTTCAACCCTGTGATGAGTAAAGACGTTTCCTTGAATCCTTGAATGTTCCTCATGGTTTCAGTCAGTGTTTAGGAGCATTTACTGGCTTCCTCTGAGATGTATAAAGTATACAGTGATGTAAAAATGGAAACACAAACCGGTACTTGAGTAAAGTTATTTTCCTCCACTTCCTAATGCACCTTGAGCGAAGGATGCAAAGTGTCTCTGTTCAGGTCGATAATGTAACAACTTTCAGTGGGTCAACTCAGTGTCTCACTGATGCCGTTGTCTCTCAGGAAGCCGGCCAATCCCTGCCTCTGGTACTCCGGATCGTTGTCCCTCTTCCACTGCTGGAACTGTTCACAGGACAGATCCTGGTGCTGGGGCTCCCACTGAGACACAGAGACGGGGGGGGGGGGACAGAGAGAGAGAGTCAATGAGCGAGCACCTCCTCAGTTTCAAGGCTGAATTCCTGAGCATGTCTCTTTTCTTTATCTCTTACAGGATGTAGGAGAGAAACTCCTACATGTAGTTCTGATACTCACAGGTTTCTTGCACTGAGCGCAGAAGCTCTTGCGGCAAGACGGACACGTGACCTTCATCTGGTCTCCGTCGTTGATGAACCCGGAGGTGCACTGAGGGAGGAGGAGAGATTATCTACGTCTCCTTCACACCACGGTTCATATCAGTTAAGTGTCATGTTTAGAATGGGTGATAATAGATTCGACTAAAGAACTTACAGAAGAATAACATAGTAATAGGATCAGTGAATTAAGACGTAGTGCTTCCTGATTGTGACGGCTTGCTGGTGAACTCACGTGGCAGCACCAGAGGAACTTTGGGTCCTTCATCAGAGCGTGCTCAGTCAGCTTCTTGTGAAACAGATCGTACACGTCCAGCTCCAGGCAGTTACGCAGCTGGACAAATACATGAAAAACGTCATTGCTAAAAGTGACAGTTATTACGTCTCTTAACCAGCTGCAGTTGAATCTCTCTCTCTCTCTCTCTCTCTCTCTCTCTCTCTCTCTCTCTCTCTCTCTCTCTCTCTCTCTCTCTCTCTCTCTTTTTCTGTGTGTGTTTGTCTGTCTCTCCCCCCCCCCTCCTCCCTGTACCTGTATGTCCAGCGTGGAGAAGTAGCTGTCGAGCTGCTCCGGGTCGTTGATGTCCGGCTCTCCACAGACCGGACACACCATGTCTCTGATGTGTTTGTCTCTCACAGCGATGGTGAAGTGCAACCCGAAGCACTCGTGGCACACGGAGCACTGACAGGAAGTCAGGGACTGCATCTGAAACACGGAGAGGAGGAGGAGGAGAAGAAGAAGAAATAAATACAGTATTTATGACACAGAAGAACAAAGGGGAGCTGTCATAAAGTACCTGTGTACATATTTTAACTTCCTTTATATCTTCTTTCTAAGTGACAAACAGACTTGATGGATAGTTGTCGTACTGCACCGTGTAAGATGCCAACGTCTGCATCGTTCACCGGCTCCGAGCCGTCGCTGACCCACCTTGCTGCGGGGGAAGATGCTCAGACAGATGGGACACTCGTTGACGAGCAGGCGCCTGATGAAATCCTTGTCGTGAGACTCCTTCACGGCTTGCACCACGTCCTCCAGGGAGTAGGTCACGTCCGGCTCCTGGAGCAGCGCCAGGACGAGCTCGCAGCGCCCCCAGCTGGGCAGGTCGTACAGCGCCAGCAGACGCCTGCACATCCTCTGAGAGAGAACCCGGACAGACGAGGAGTCAATGTGACGCACTTCTTTTCTTTTACTACATGAAGTCGTCTACGAGGTGTGCACACTGAAGGCTTCAGGTACTTTGCTGTGCAGCCTTATGCTCTGATTATATTTGTGCAGACAGCGCTGAGCTGCTACCTGTTTGTCCGGGTGTTTGGGGTCGATGGGCGGCTCGGGCTGGTCGGTCCAGATGCGCTGGTGGAAGGGCTCCAGCAGGGGGCGCTGCAGCAGAGACAGAGCCCCCTTCACCTCGCCTCCGCTCAGCCGCAGGGCCTCCTCGCACCGCAGCACGTCCCTGAAGCCCAGAGAGTGCAGCTCCTTCATCTGAGCGGAAGCACCGGTTAATGTAGACGAGCAAAACCTCAGTGTACAAATAGTCTGCTACAAAGTAAAAGTATTCAAAATACACTGAACTGAACTCAGTCTTTCAAATAATATCACGACGCGATATTGAATCGATGCACAAAAGTTATAAGGTATCGATCGAACTGCATCATTTACAGTTAAAGGTAATAAATCACGATGTTTGATGCTCTTACTCTGAAAGTCTCTTATTAGATTAAAATAACTTCTCAGAATAACGAGGAATGTTTAGGAAAAAAAATGCATTTAATGTGAAAAGTTCACCTCAATATTTATGATGAATCATATGTAGAATTAGAGTTCTGTTAAATGAGTTTTAGTTTCTCAGAATTGGCACCACTGCGAGAAGGGAATAATGACACAAAACCAAACATTTTGAAGTAATAAAATGACTTGTTAAGAGTGTGTAACTCTGTAAAAACATATGAGACAAGCTGTTCTTTTCAGGAGACAGATATCTAATGAAGAGACAAGAGATCAAAAGTTTCCCTTCCTTCTCATTGAGCCGGTCAGGAGGGCCGTGGAACACTCCTCCACATCGCTCCCAACAGACCACAGACTCTTTGTTCTACTTATCTCATCACTTTGAAGACTTCCTGTTTGCTCACCATAGAGAGCTGCTCATCAGCCTCACAGTGAAGGCTGCTCGCTGGTGATAAATAACTCAACACTCATACATCATGTTCTCATAGACTGCTATACAACCAGAGGAGTCGCCCCCTGGTGGACACTAGAGAGAATGCAGCTTTAACACATGAAGCTTTGGCTTCACTTTAAAGAACCGGAGGTTGACATCTTTAAAAAACTCAGAAATAACAAACTTCTGCTCCTCCAGCAGGAAACTGTCTTTTGGAGTGCCCCATGTTGAAGCAGCAGGTCCTGATTGTCCTACCTTGACCTGTCTGTCTCTCAGCAGCTGTCTCACGGCTCTGTCGGTGTCTCCTCCCGCCGACAACCAGGCCAGCTTGGCCTCGGCCCGGGACAGCTTCGCGCCGTCGCCCGCGACACCGGGACCGCTCGGCTCCGCCCCCTCGCCGCCCCTCTCCGCCTGGACGGAAGCCGCCATGGCGCAGATCTCGTCCAACAGGTGAGGCAGCTCTGACGTCAGCCAATCACAGGGGTTCGTGTTGCTGCCGCCGCACATGCCGATGGCGGCGTACACCTCCTCAGCACTGACGCCGCGCTTCTCTGCTTCCTGCGAAGGAGACACGACAGAGAATCTTTAAACGTGTCTGTGTGACACACACACACACACACACACACACACTCTCCCGGTGACCTACTCTGATCTGCTGGACGAGACGGAGGCCGTCTTCCCTCATCATCTTCTGTCTCTTCGCCTCCACGTCGCCTCCGGGCCTCGGCTGAGTTCTCGGCTGGTCTTTGGTGCCGGACGGGTTCTGCTGGAGAGACAGCGGCAGAGAGACTCCGGCGGAGTCTTTGCAGGACAGGTTGCACATCTCGCACACCGCGGTGGTATTGGTGTTCATGTAGGTGCAGAACTGGCACATCCACTGTGAAGCAGGGAGAAAGGAAAGACACAAGCGTGTTGAGCAGACGCAATGAGACAAACGTATGTATGAGATGCCTTAAAAGAATAGAACTTATTTTTAGAGAGTTGCCAATTGGTCAACTGTTCATTCATCCTTTAATGTGACTGCTGTAACCCTCTGAACCCCAAGACAGCAGGTTTTATTTTTTAATTGTTTGTCATAACCAGAAGCTTTAAAAAACGTTATTGTCGTCAGAATTTCATCTTTCATCTTCGAACACATCACAGTTTTTTCTTCAGACATTGGTAACACTTGTGAACATGTTGGAAATATAGATTCCATTGTTTAAAAAAAATAAATTATCAAAAAATTCAACTTTTTAATGATTGTCATAACTGTGTTATTCTGCACTAAAGACGTGTTCTAGTTCTCACTTCTTCTAGTCATCATGGTTCTGTGTCCATAGAGGAGCAGGAATTTTATTTTGAAAATCAAGACCACAGAGAGAAACATGTAACAGAACAATAGTGTGCATGTAAACGTGGTCATTGTCACATTTGACGGATTGTTGTTACAGCCGCTTCTAACACAATGCAGAACTGTTTAGCATGGACCCCCCCCCAGTGGGACAGACCTTTGCTCCCGAGTCAGACGTGGACCCCGGGCTGGACGGCAGCGGTGCGACAGACGGTCGAGTGGCCAGACGAGGGCGCTCACACACCTCACAGAGGATGCTGCTGCCTTGATTCACTACGGTGCAGCTCTTACACTGCCACTCTGAGGGAGCGAGCACAGACACATTCACACCGCTAGATAGATAGATAGATATATTTACACAATAACTTTGTTTCCTCGTGTCAACGGCACATCTTGTCGTTAGAGGGAAACATGTTTTTGCTGATTGTTTAGCTGAAACATGCTGCGATGAGTGCGATCCTGTTTGTTTTGTGTCTCATCTGTTTTATTTGTGCGTTTTAATCTCTTCTCCTCTTTCACAGCGCTGGGTTTCTGAGTCTTTAAAGCCGCCGTCTAATTGAAGTTGCACGATGTCTCTGGTCTCACCCGTGTTGGGAGACGTGGGGATGGACGTCGGGTTTTCCGGAGCGGCGGACGCGGCCGTGGCGAGTCGAGGCCGTTCGCAGGTGGCGCAGAGGACGGCTCGCATCTCGTTCACCGTGGTGCAGTGAGCACACTCCCACGGGGACAGAGACGGACTGCAAACAATACAAATATACAGATTTACAGTGAAGAAGAGATCGATGCAGGCTGGTCACTTCCTTCTGCAGAAACTTACAAACTACGACTGCCAACGAAATCCGAATACGAAAGCATTAAAAAACAACTAATTGACGACATGCAGGTCGTTTATGCTTCTGTCGATTAGCAGAAACTCTTCTCCACAACGTTCACTGGAGGAGAAACACAGCTCCCGTTCCTCCTCACCTGGATGTTTTGGCCGCTGTAACAAACGCTCTGCTGTGTCCTTTGTCTCTCCTGTGATTGGCTCTGGAAGGGTGGCGGTGAAAGAGGTCGTCACAGGCGTCGCAGAATGTTTGATCGTCACAAGACGGGCAAACCAGAGACGAGGCGGCACCGCACAAGTTACAATCGCTCGCTGCAGGAAGAGCGAGAAGAAGAGTTATTAGAAGAGTGATTCTATTTATTGAGGCTTCTAGCTGCGTCGCGCTCAAAGCACAATACACTCAAAGCGACTCAGGCTACATCCACACTCCCACGCTCTTCACAGCAGCTCACCTGTTGATGGCTTCAGAGGTTCTCCTCCGGGGCTCAGACTGGGTTTAGGTGGAAGAGACAGAACCTGAGGTGTGTCTGCCAGCTGCTCCTCTTCATGCGTTACGACCACAACGTCAGACACCAGCTCATCCTGGAGAGAAAGCAGCTTCACAATAAAGCTTATTTATACAACGAGCAGCACAGTGTTGAAGGAGAGAATACGATGCCCCACACACACACACACACACACACACACACACACACGTAGCCTACAGATCGGATCTAACAGGGTGTAACTGTCCGCCTGACCGACGTATTTAAAAGTGTGTTCTCATTTGTAAATAATATAAAAGTCAGTACTAAATAAATGTATGATAGTCAGTTTTCCACAACACTGTCCTGCAAATATTTCACAAATAAGGGGATTCTGTGCACAGAAAGACACAAAATGGCTTTTATTTTGAAACGAAAACAGGAAGTGTTGGGATGAATATAAATTTGGACTTTTTTTCATGTCTGATACATGTTGAACAGATTAAGACTATAGTTATGTTGCTGGTTTAAGGTCAACATACTGTAAAACATCTTCTTCTTTTTTACTGTCTATTAAAAAAAAAAAAAAAATGTACATTTGTTGGGAAATTGTGCAAATTCATAGAAAAGTGATTTTTTTTTTTCCACAGCCGATATCAAATGTTTTACAGTTACACGATGCATTTGGATGTGCGTCTGAGCGTCCGTACAGATGAGCGTTGGCACAGACCAGTGTTTGCACAGACCAGTGTTGGTACAGACCTGCTGGGTGATGAATGGGATGATGTCTCTGAAGTTTTCTGGGTGAGGATGGGTTCTCTAAAACAAACAAGACGTGGAAGACAGGGAGGAACGTTTGACACAAAACGGCAGCTGATGTTTTGAAGGCTTTCAGACGAACGCTCCACAAACCTTCACGAGCATGTCCACCTCCGTGCGTAAGGTCATCACCTCCAGCGTCACCGAGGCCACTTTGGCGGTGTCCGGTTCGGTGACGTCGTCGGGGAAACTGAGGCCGTCGATCTGCTGATTGGTGTAACCGTACAGAAACAAGACGGTCCGGCCTCCCTGTGGAGGAACGCGAGCATTTCACATGATTCTCATGATTCAGCAGGTTCAAGGAAATAAGAAAAATGTTATTTTCTGCAAGAAAAATCTGCACAAAGAAGCTTCAAAATGCGAGAGACCCACTTAAAAACAATATATCTGAACCAGATGACTGTTCCATGCAGAACCATGTGACTTGTTCTCACCTTGACGGCGTCCACGGTGGTTCTGAAGACGGGGTTGTTGTGCTTGACACTCCTCCAGTATCTGGGCCTGGCTGGACTCGTCAGGTTACAGCCGTACTTCTCCAGGATACTCAAGGCCTTGACCAGTCTGCTCAAAGACTCCAGAACCTGGAGAGGAAACAGCCAGTGGGTGTTTCTCAAAGTCAAGGATGCTTCCTTGATAGGACGTGTCCTTATTCACAACAATCAGTACATTTACTAGAAGGAATATTGAGATGAGGGAGAGAGGAAAGAAAAGGGGAGATGAGAGGAGTAGAATGAGGAGGGGAGATGAGGGGAGGAGGAGAGGAGGGGAGAGGAGATGAGGGGAGGAGTAGAGGAGAGAAAAGGGGAGAGGAGAGGAGTAGAATGAGGAGGGGAGAGGAGATGAGGGGAGGAGGAGAGGAGAGAAAAGGGGAGAGGAGAGGTGGGGTGGGAGGAGGAAAGGACAGGAGGGGAGATGAGAGGTGGGGAGGAGAGTAGAATCCTTCCTTGACTTGAGATGTGATCTAAACTCACTGGTTGTGTATATTCATGTTTTATGTGTAGTATAAATATAAATATGTATCCAGCAGCTCCACCACACTGACTGTAACTGTAACTGTGACTGTAACTGACTGTGACTGACTGTAACTGTAACTGACTAACTGACTGTAACTGTAACTGACTGTGACTGACTAACTGTGACTGACTGTAACTGTGACTGACTAACTGTAACTGACTGTAACTGTGACTGTAACTGTAACTGACTAACTGTGACTGACTGTAACTGTGACTGACTAACTGTAACTGACTGTAACTGTGACTGTAACTGTAACTGACTAACTGTGACTAACTGTAACTGACTAACTGACTGTAACTGTAACTGACTGACTGTAACTGACTCACTGTAACTGACTGTAACTGACTGTAACTGACTGTGACTAACTGTAACTGACTGACTTTGACTGACTGTAACTGACTGACTGCAACTGTGACTGACTGTAACTGACTGTGACTGCAACTGTGACTGACTGTAACTGACTAACTGTGACTGACTGTAACTGACTGACTAACTGTGACTGACTGTAACTGACTAACTGTGACTGTGACTAACTGTAACTGACTAACTGTAACTGTGACTGTAACTGACTAACTGTAACTGACTGTAACTGT